CCAAAACCAAAAAAACCAAAAATACCAAAAAAACCAATTTTCCGGGACTCTTGGAGAAGCCTCATAGGGATTTCCTGAGAGTCCCGGAAAATTGTTTTTTTTGGTATTTTTGGTTTTTTTGGTTTTTTTGGTTTTGGTTTTTTTGGTTTTTTTGGTTTTGGTTTTTTGGTTTTTTTGGTTTTGGTATTTTTGGTTTTTCTACTGTCCCGTGTATGCGATTTTAGTTGTATTTTAGTCTACGCCCTAGGAAATACGCTATATTGCACACCGAGTTTGCTTGCAGTGCAGCTGGGTGACTTGAGACAAGGCGAAAAAGGGTAGGTCACTGGGGGGGGGGGGTACCATATATATATATATATATACACCCTTTAAGGGATTGCATATGGTACCTAACTCTCCCATTCCCTACTAAGAGCCAGTAGCTTGAAGCCTCAAGAAGTGGATTCTCGTGGTGGTCGGGAAGGACGGGGTCCAGTTTTCGTGGTTTTTGAACCTGGAAAGCACAAGAAGTGGAACCCCCCACCGTTCCATGCTTCAGGGTTTAGGGTTTAAGGGTTGAGGGTTTAGGGTTTAGGGTTTAGGGTTCAGGGTTCACTTTTTTGTGGTCTCCGGGCCTTGGAAAGCTCCACACTCTCGTGGTCGGGAATGACACAGAAGCTCACGTTCATCAGAAAACTCCAGAGAAGTGGACCCCCGTGGTCAGGAAGGACAGGTGTCCACCTTTCGTTTTTTTGTCTTCGGGGGCCTTAGAAAAGTCAACCCCCTGGTGTAGGCTAGGGGCTTTAAAACTCGAAAAGTGGGACCGTGGCGAAGAAGGATGCAGGTTACTTGCTCACATTGGGGGTGTTCTGGGCCTTGGAAAGCTCAAAACATGAACCCCCGTGGCTGGGAAAGTTGTGGTTGCAGATTCACTTTTCGCATCTTTTCGTGGTTTCTAGGTACTCTTGGAAAACCTCGAAGTGAATGGTCGTGGGAGGGAAGGTCCACTTGGTGAACCAAGGCACGTGGTTCCTGGTAAAGAGGCCTCCGGAGAGGTCATGTGAAGAAGTGTTTTTGTTATGGTTGTTGGTGAGTGTATCGAAAGGCTCGTTTTTTTTTTTGAATATTGGTGAATGTATATATATATATGTACGCATAGTATTGGGTGTCCATTCGGAGATACAGGGACGCTTGAAATGTAAGCCATGGGTCACGTCGTTGTGTTCTGTTTCCTTGTCGTGGTTGGGGTTTGAGTTTCTTGCCATGCTTGGTGCACCCTCTCTGAGACTCTGAGACACTCGGGTTAGTGCCTCGCATGTAGCGAGGCGGTCTGTGACGCTCGTGTTGTACGCTCAGAGGAATTGCGTGTTCCAGTGGTTCCAGAGTTCCAGCTACTTTGGCATCATATGCCTCATGAGGCGTTCTTTGTACTGTGCATGTGTAGTGTTGGGCTCATGCAACCAGTGCAGGGCCGCATAGCCTAGCCATGAATGGCCAAGATGTACATCTTTGCAAATTTCAGACTGCCAATTTGCATTTTGAGAGGGCGCACATGCCCCTTACCATGCGTTTGAGATGCGCGTGCAAATCCCAGGAGTAAGAAACTTGAGGCATTCAAACCCACCTGGGCATCCAGACCTAACTCCCTTTCCAAGGGTACTTCCATTCGAGGTGGTCCTAAGAGGTACCCAGAAAGGGCACTGAGGACTCAGACTCCATCCCGGATTCCGAGTGGGAGGGTTTAGGGTTTAGGGTTTAGGGTTTAGGGTTTAGGGTTTAGGGTTTAGGGTTTGGGGTTTCAGAAACCACTTGGAGGTTTAGGGTACTTGTAGGCCAATTCTAGTTGCTCATAGCGCCTTAAAGGTCCCCCAAGACAGAGGGTTCTCATTGGGTCATAAGTATGCATGAGCCTTCAAGGAAGGATTTAGGGCTAAGGGGGAAGAGCCCATATCTGGAAGGTTTGGCGTAGGCCGGAGCAAGACATGCCCGAAACCGTGAACCCTAAACCCTAAACCCTAAACCCTAAACCCCAAACCCTTAACCCTAAACCCAAAACCCTAAACCCTAAACTTCAGACTCCGAAGCCGGTGGTGCTAGAAAACCTGAATCCTTGCAACAGCTTTCACGCGTCATAGTCTCAGATTGTCGGGTAGGCCATCCCAGAAGAAAAGCGACCAGACTGAGGGAAATTATCAGCCCTGTGTCTGCTAAAAAAAGAAGGGGGAGTTGTAGTAGTTCCTGCGGTAGCCAGACTTTGGTAGCTACTGTCGTAGAAGCAACCCAGATCACAGTAAGCCCTAAACCCTAAACCCATAGAAGTTGCCATCGCTATCGCCATGGCGGGCACGGAGTGGAATGCATCTTGGATGCCTAAGCTACTAGTGAAGTCCGGGGCATCCGAACCTTCCACTTACAAAAGCCTACAAACGAAGCTAACAACTCAGAGAGATTCGGATGGGTCCGGCCCGAGGAGATGACCTCCGGGTGGGTTTGGGTGGGTTTCCCCAAAACCCACCGAAGCTCAAGACGAGTAGCAATTGCAACGAAACCTTCCTCGGAAACTCAAGACGAGCAGCAATTGCAACACGAAACCTTCCTCAAAAACTGAAGACGAGCAGCAATTGCAAGGAAACCCACGATACCTCCCTCAAAAACTCGAAATGCGTAGCAATTGCACCGAAACCTTCTCCACAAGACAAAACCTGGAAGCAAATCGTACACCTGAGCCCGGGACTCCATGAGCTCCGAAGGCCGCAGAGGGGGTGCTTAGTAGTGCTAAGAACACCCGCTGCGCCCCTCACAAACCCGGATTTCTGCAAAGCGTGTTGTTTGGGGTTGAACATCTCAATTTATTTAAACCACCCTCTTTTAGGTATTCGTCAAATATCATGAGTTCAAACATCCCAGGACCCATCCGAATCCGCTTCTCTGAGCCCTAATCCCTAAACCCCAGAAAAACTAAACCCTGAGTGTTTCACGCAACGAAATTGTCACGAAAAGATGGCTTGTGCGCAAAGCGCTGACTTGAACAGTCTCTCACGCAACGAAACTGTCACGAAAAGAAGGCTTGTGTGCAAAACGCTGGCTTGAACAGTTTAAACCCCACACCCTACCACCTAATAGCTCTTGTCAGGAAGCAGGATTTGCTTTAGTGAGGAAGCAGGTTTTGCTTGAATATCCCACCAGTTAGCACTCGTGAGGAAGCAGGATTTGCTTAGTGTCCCCCAAGGTGCGCTAGCAAATCGCCCCTAGCAAACGAGGGGATGGGTGGGTGAGCTTGTGGAGTCGGGGTGTCCGACGTGGGACACTAAAGCAAATACTGCTTCCTCACGAGAACTGTTGGGTGGGACACGAAAGCAAATCCTGCTTCCTCACAAGAGCTATTGGGTGAAAACCCACGCCAAACGCGCTTTTTTCGCGCAGAAAGAGGGCCATGACCAAATAGCTTGCGCCACAACCCTAAAAGAGGGTGGTTTCCTAGCGATCCATGGGTTCCAGGGGATGCAATGAGTGTATTCCGTGGCGTCCCGTTTCAATCTAACGCTATATAGCTGCAACATAGGCTTTGAGAGTCAACATCATAACGTTCGACCTTTTTTTGACACGGTCTTTTCGCGTAAAAGAGTTTGTTTTTTGACGGGGCTTTTTCGCAGAAAAGATTTTTTTGACACAGTCTTTTCGCACAAAAAAGTATTTTTGACACGGTTTTTTCGCACAAATGACCTTTTTTCTTTCGCTGGGGGGGGGGGGGGTTTAATGCGTTCATTTCGTCTTCATTTCGTTGCAACGGTTCCGGCTGAAGTTTATTGCATTCATTTCGTTGCAACGATTCAGCGGAATTCCTTCGTGCATTTCGTCTTCATTTCGTCCCAATGACTCCGCCTGGAATTTCTCGCATGCATTTCGTCTTCATTTCTTTGCTTTTTCCGTCCGGCATTTCTTGTGCGCATTTCGTCTTCATTCCGTCGAAATGACTCCACTTGGTTCTTCCGTTCATTTCGTCTACATTTCCCTGCGACGATTGCGACTGGGGTTTCTTCCGTTTTCGTTGCAAGGGTTGCGCTTGAAGTTTCTTCCTTCATTTCGTTGCAATGATTGCGCGCGGAATTTGTTGCCTGCTTTTCGTTTTCAAAACGTTGCAACGATTCCGCCTGGAATGCTTGTGTGCGTTTCGTCTTCATTTCGTTGCAATGGTTCCGCCCGGAAATTCTGGTGCGCATGTCGTCTTCATTCCGTCACAATTGCTCCGCCTGGTTTTCCCGTTCATTTTCGTCTTCGTTTCCTTGCAACGATTCCGCCTGGATTTTTTGCGCACATTTCGTCTTCCCCGGATTCTGGTACAAGGTTTGTAAACTCAACAAGTTGCCAGTTGTTCTTGGAGTTGTTGGACCCTCCTCAACGCACAGTTGGAAGGCATTGAGTTTCCAGTTGTCATGAGCCCAACGGTGGGGTTTCCAAACCCAAACCGCAACCGTGTGACGTGTGGCAGCCTTCCGGTGTTGAAGTGGCTTTAAAAGTGCAGTGTCGCGGTGGAAAAGGCGACAGCAACATCTTGGAAATCTTACGTCCATGGATTCGAAGGTTTGTTTTCTGCCGAGCTGCGGCAGTATGTTTCTCACGAATTTGATAAAGTATACAGTATACCCCAAGCGCAGCTTCTCCTCAATGCGTCCCACTGTCCCAGCATTCACTGCGCAACGCTGCAAGTGTGGAATCGAATCAGCCTTGGCAAGAAAACAACAAGCGACAGCAGATCAAGCAGGAAAGAAGCAGTGCAAGGGAGCCACGCGTTCTGCACGTCTGAAGTGCTGTGATGTTGAGGTTCAAGCACTTGTGCGGGCCAACGTGCCGCAATGGAGTGTGAGAGCTTGCAGATATCCGCCGATCCTTAATGCAGCCATTCTAAGATTCTATGCTATCTTCTAGCGTGAGAAACAAGCCAGAAGCTTCGACAATTGGGCCTTAGTTGCGTAGTTGTACTGTGCAGAAACATGTGACAGTTCTGGTCAGTTGCGCCCGTCATGAAAACAGACATTTCTTTGGATGATTCACCAGGCCACGAGACTTTGTGATTGCTTGCGCTGCGGAGTACCCATGTTTGTATACCTTGAATGTTGGCAGTTGCTTCTGATCCTCCCCTTCAAGCAACGCCAAAAGGCAGCCTTTCAGTTTCTTGCGCGTCCACAACGCAATGTTTAGGAGTTGTTCAGGGACCGTCGCCGTAGACCCACTGCCAAGAGTACAGAATGCCTTCCCCTGAGGGCTAGGGTTTCTGGTGATGTCGTTGTTTGTATATATATATATATGTGGGCCGAGGTACTGGTACTCAGGTCTCCCTGTTCAGCAATCGAAGCGTCCGTCGCACTGTCGCAGGTTTTTTATTTGCCGTCTTTGCAAGAATCCGTGGTTGTGTGACGTGAACGTTCCAGCCAGGTGATTCCTTCAACCGATGATGCAAAGCTTCAGGTGTGCAGCTGTGTGATGGTTCAGCATTGATTGTCAGCTCGAGCAACCGTTGAGACCAGCCGAAGTAATTATATTATCGTGATTCTGGCTGTGAGTTTTCTTTGTGTGCAGATCAATGGTTTTGGCTCTTTGCCTGTGTCCTTTTCCTGTGTTCGGGGTTTTGCTGCGATCTGCGATCTGTGATTTTCTGTGACTCAGCTAGCTGTGCTCGTCCATGTGTTCAGAGCCGTGGGTTTTGCCATGATTTGATGCAGCTGGGGCTACTACGTTCACGTCAAAGTGTTCGCTTTTGCGGTGCAAATGTTGAAAAGTATCCACCAGCCCCCAAGGCGGGAGAGGAGGCCCTCACCACATCCTGACAACCTAAACCTTGAGTAACCTTGAATCCTCTAAAGTGATCAAAACCCCTAAACCTCCAAGCAGGATGCTGCATTTTGAATGGATGGGCGCAGGGGCCGGCATTCAAGGGGAAGAGGGGAGGGGAGGGGAGGGCCCGCAGAAACAACTCCTTCGCCAAAACCCTCCCAGTGGCCTTTCCGGGACGAGATAGCGTGGGATTCATAGACGTTTCAAGAATTTCACGTAAGAGAAGGACAAGAACAAATGCGTGGCCACTAACTAAAGGACGCTCACTCAGACTGAAATTTTGATTTCCCCCTCCAACTTAAGTCTCAGGATTCATTGGTGTGTTCAACTGTTGCAACTACGTTGGGCGCGACCGCTACAAGGTAGCTACGACAGTCATGCAGAAACTTCAGCCAAATCACAGACCCGTGCACATAGACTTTCGGAGTCACAGCTCGCGCACATACACGAATACAGCCACACCAACACAGCAAAACGCAACAAAGTTCCACCCGTGCACAAACACAAAACACAGCCACATGGCAAATTCATAGACCTGCAAGCATAATTTGGCCATTCCTGGGCACTCAAGTATTACTGTAGCAGGCTGAGTGAGTGTGGGTGGGTGAGCGAGCGAGTGCAGGAGAGAACGTGCGTGTGTAAGGCAATGCTTTCATGTGCCTTGTGGCAGGAGCCAGGGGCGCTTGAAGTTGGTGAGGCTCCGGGCTAGATGTGCACTGGCGTTCATATTTGTCCCAGGGTTTCGCAGCTGTCTCGGCTGGAGGCTGACCTGAACAAATCCGACTCGTTGTATGCTCGGCTCATCGAGATTGACTCGGCCGTAAGTAGCAGCTGTGATCTCGGTTTCGTTCCAGTGGTGCAAGCATGCCCTGGACGTGATGCATGACTGATTCGCGGAGTGATGGTTCCAGGTTGTTGCACATTGTTCAGTGGCAATCTGTGCTGGGGTGTCCAGGGCTTACTTATACTGGCAGCCAGTACACTGGAGATGGCGTTGAAAGTGCAGGGGACGCTAAGGTGTGGCCGTGGCAGTGAGGTGAAGTTTCTGATATTCGCGACAATGTGTTTTAATGGCATGTGTACAGCTTTAGAACATTCCACTTCCAGCACTTGCTGTTGCATATACAACTGCACCGACTGTACCTGTTTTGCACATATAGAGCTGAGACAGTGGCAGAGCTCTTCAATGCAAATTTCCCCGCCAGTGGCTTTGGGCCCTCCTGACGCTAGTCTGTGTTACTACGCGCTACTCCGTGGACACTGGTGCCTGGGCTTCACAGGCTTCACACCTAGGGTGTGGACAGGGTTTTACTGTGTTATGTTTTTAAACTTTTATACTCGTCGCATTTCCTGCAGCCAGGGACACCAGGTGTGGCTTCCAAGAAAGCGAACCATGGAGCGTGGATCGAGCCAGGGAAAAACGTGGCAGTGCGTTGCAGTGTGTTGCGACTCCTAGCGTGACGGGCCAATGCCCAAAGAATCCCTCGGGAGCAAGCATGTTGACGGAAATGCTAGAATCTGCTAGAAGCCTCCCGCAGCGTTCGGCCCAAGATTGACCCAGCCAAATATAGGAAGCATGGGTGTCCTTGCGCTGACGCCGGAAATCTGGCGGAGGATGACGCTCCAACAACAAGAAGCCTACGTCGCACTTATGGAGGTTCAACTGGAACGGTACAAGAAGGTGGGGAAGCTTTCAACAAGCAGCGGCCTCCTTGCTTTTGTTGCCCTGTGCCAGGCGGAAGCCTTCTTCAACACCGTCCACTCGAATGCCATACGCCCAGAGCGATTCTGAAATTCCGCTGTGTGCAGCGCCTAAGTGTGTCGTCCAGTGAAGCAGTTCGGTGTGTTATCAGTGCAGAATTCGTTTGCAAGTCACTGGCGCAAGCTATTCCGGACGTTGCTGAACATAGCAGCTGCAATTAGTCGATTCGGGCAAAACGTGTCTGGCTCTGCTATGTCTGCAGCCCGGGCTTTGAGTACTAGCAGAGTCTGTTGCCGAGTCTGCAAGCCCATAACTGCCATACCTGCCATAACTGCCATAACTGCCATAACGGCTACCAAAACAGAACATTTGTCCACAATGAAGGGCGCGGGGCGAGCTCAGGTAACAGGTTGGGTGGATTCGTGGACATGTGGAATGTTCAGCTGTTGCTGTGAACCCGCAAGACGCTCAGATGCCCAGCAAGTGTGTTGCTGTAGCTGGTTGCATTGAGTGGCGCAGGACTGAGTCGAAACTTTTGCCTGGAGGCCACACAGGTTATCGAGGAAGTTGTTGTGGCCTGAAGTTGCGGCCATACAGATGCTTGGGGCGCCAAGTCCTCGGAGCACTCAAGCTTCAAGCTCACCCTTATGCAGGAAGGGGCAGTTGCGTTGGCCCGTTCTCCCCCGCCGCAGTAGCAGAATGCCAGACGCAGGATTGCCTCGAAAACGGCCCCGGGGTCGACAGCCCAGGCGCCGCACTTGGCTTTCATTCTGTGCAGTTTGCCTCTACAACATGGCGTGCTGGGGATTCTTTGGGATTGCCTTTCAACGTCTTCTTACTGAGTTGATTCCAAGTAGTTGTGCGTGTCGTTGTCATCCGAATCACAGCGCCGTCGAGTGCAACCCATGATCTCCGGGCCTTCGGCGTTGGAAGCCGGCGCTCTTGCAAGACGTTTTTCAACATTTTGGTATGTTGGGAGCGCATTAATCGGTGTGAAAAATCTTGAAGATGCACAGCTTCAAGCTAGAGCTTTACGTGTGGTCTTGCAGCGTAACTAGCTGTAGATTCTGTTCGGGCATTTGTCTTGCGGACGCTTCATATTGCAAGACTCCTTCGAGTCTGTAGAGTCGTAGAGACGTAGAAAGATCAGCTGCAGAGGCACCATTGTTGGCGGCCACGGGAATGGGATCTGGCAGCAACGGCTCAGCCAATGGTTGCCATCCAGCACTCCGTCTTCTGCATCATGCTAGTGCATCATGCTTGAGTTCATCCGTCCAGCTTAAGGACATGACTGGCAAATGTGTGTCGCGCGCTGACGGGGTGCTGGTGACAAGCTCCAGGAAAGGATTCCTGACCTTGGAAGTCCCAAGCCTAAATAATAGCTTCCAAGTCTCTCAAAAGATCGCTGCGTCCAAGCTGCTTGAACTGGCGCAACTCACGCTTCCATTGCAACTGACGTCTGGCGGCAGCCTTCGATCGCCTTTGATTTTTGCACTGGCTCGCTCGATGCTCGAGGCGCCTCTGGCGCTTCTGGCGCCTCTGGTGCTTCGCGACATCAGAGTACATGGTGACGTCGTGTTCTGCTTCTTGGAGTGGTTGATGGCAAAAACGAGCCGGACATCCTAATGACCCGTTCCTAGCCATGTATTTGCTCTACCTTGACAACGCAGCTGTCATCAATATGAAGCGTATTTTCGCTTGATCTGGAGTCTTCAACTCGGAGTGATGCCCTCAGGAGGCACATCTACTACTGAATCTATGCATTTGCCAGAGAGATCTGGATCGTGGTTGGGAAGCTTCCGGCAGGAGTGGCGTGCGTGGTTCGTGCAGGCTGGCTGCCAATGCATCACCTTGCCACTTGCAGGCGAGTACAGACTCCGTTGCCGCTGGATGATCGACAGAGGCATACGGCCACTACAGCCACACTGCGCAAAACAATGTGAATTGCCTCAATTGCCTCAAGCAGGGCTCAGGAACCGAAGTCTTAGTTACTTAGTTGTGGAATGTGATGCGGCATGTGTCAGTGTTTGTGAGACAGGCTGCGCCCTTACAGAATCCCAGCGAATCCCAGGAACGTTCAGAATGTCTGGGAATTCCTCGAAAACTTCAGGCTTAGGAAGTCCTGGGATATCCTAAGAAAACCTCCTGGAATCTATTCCATTATGTTGCGTTCATTTCGTCTTTTTTTCCGTTGCAACGATTCCTCCCGGAGTTTTTTCCGTTCATTTCGTCATTCTCGTCTTCGTTCGTTGCAATGATTCCGCCCGGATTTTCTGGCGCACATTTCGTCTTCATTCCGTCGCAATGGCTCCTCCTGGTTTTTCCTTTCGTTTCGTCTTGCAGCGACTCCGCCCTAAGTTTCTTGAGTGCCTTTCGTCCTCATTTCGTCGCAAATAGGTTCTGCCAAAGCAAGCTTCCCTCAAAACCTTCTGATCAAGGTGATGAAAGCTTAGTGCTCGCCTCAAGGCAAACGCTTTCGGGTTCAGGACACACGGCAGGCTGCGACCTTCAAAGAAACAAGGGGGGGCATCCTTCTTGAGACTCGAGATATGCTTTGCCACCGCACACGTGTTCACGAGCGTCACAGCCGAACACTTGCAGCTGCAGTTTGACAGTAAGTTGCTGCAGTGGACAAGCTAGAGGTCTTTGGTTCAGCCGAGCGACTGCGGGTGATAGCCCACTAGATCTCTTTGCCAACAACAGGAACCAACAAGTCCTACGATTTCCACCCACTCACGGCTGTTGGTAGAGTACAGTAGCATTTGCCAGACGGCCGCGGAGGGTCGAGTTTCTCCTCTTGAATGGTTTTGGTAGCACAGGCAAGCCTCATACAAGGGGTGTAGGGCATGTGGTGCTTCGCGCGGCATTTGGCCCAACTCGACCAGAAAGTTTTAATTGAGTCTATGTATAAGCTTACAGCATGTCGGGGCGGAGAGTTCTTCCCAAGGCTTTGCTGAGCAGTCGCAAGCAGAAGTTCCATTTTCAACTCACATGAGCCCCTCTGTTCACAACTTACAGATTACTGTAGGGTTCCGGCGCTTCCTTTCCCAACATGCCAGATGAGGGCCTCCAGGGCCCTTCGGGCTGCAAGCTGCAAGGACAGTGCATAGTGTTCTCTTCGAGCATCAACTCCCCCCCCCCCTCGGGCCCCCCTCAACTAGTGGAATCGTGTGGGTGGGGGGGAGGGGGGGTGGTAGTCGAACTCCATTTTCCATTCCATTAATGGTTAATCTCGTGGTGAAACTTTACGGGACAAAACCCTCCCTTTTGGGACAGCGGGGTAGCAGACACCGGGCGGAACCAGGATAAAGCCGACTGCCTGATCTCGCTTTTTCTAGAAAAGCGTGGCATGCATCCAGTGGTTCAAAATGGACTGGGTTCCAGATTGGGTAACCCTTCGCCCTAGAAAAACCGGGGTAAACTTCGAGCCAAATAGCATACACCAATGCGCCCAAGGTTTAGGGATGAGGGGAAATTCAGGATGTACCCCCTCATTCCGATACAGTGCGTAGCATCATCATCATCATCATCATCAGCACTAGGAGCAGTGGTAGCAGGTTAGTAGTATCAGCATGATTTGCAGTGTTACCACTGTTTTTGCATTCATTTTTGTTTTTTAATGACTAGTTGTCGTAGTCGTAGCTGATTCAACCAGCAGCCGTGGCAGCTAAGGTGTCTCGCTTGCCGTGGCATTGAGTGGCCTAGGGCAGCACTGGAGGCATCTCTCCGAGACCAAGGTGCGCACAGTGTCGACAGCCGCATGTTCGCAGTGAAACGTGGTAAGAAGTGCCGCGAAAACATCCCCAGCACAAAACACCAACCCCGGCGGCGGCGGCAGCAGCAGCAAACAACAGCAGCAAACAACAACAGCAAACAACAACAGCAAACAACAACAGCAAACAACAACAGCAGCAAACAACAACAGCAAACAGCAACAGCAACAGCAACAGCGACGACAACGACGACGACGACAACAGCAGCAGCAGCAGCAGCAGTAGCAGCAACAACAACAATAAACATAATGACAATGACAATGATAGAAGCAATGTTAAAGGAAGAAAATGTCAACACCAACACCAACAGCAACTACATGACCAGTATTTTGACTTGACTAGTACGAAGCAGCAGAATGTCAGTATGTTTTTAACACCTACTGATAGGAAATACGTGTAGGATAGTCACAAGAGAAAGTAGAGACTTATACCTGTGACGGGCGTTGCTTGTCGTGCGAACAATACGGCTGTATCATGCTGCCTTTGATCGCCCTCACTGCCACGTGTCGCATCACATCATTTGGCGGCCATGAGTGCTAGCTTCAACGTTCGCGATCATCATTACCACCACCATCAACAGGGCACCGTCGGGTTTGGGCTTTCGGATCGAGGGTGCAGGACACTGAGAGAGAGAGAGAGAGAGAGACGTTGAGTAGAAGCTCAAAGCTCCAAGCCATCCCAACTCCTAAATCCTCTCTAAACTCCCTAAGTCCCAAGCTTTTAAACCCAAACCCTGCATATGCCCCGACGCCTCCAAGGATTATTATGACAATTTCTTGAGCCACGCCTGGTTGAGCTCTGGATGGCTGCTCCTGGGCCCAAAGGAAGAAGGTCTCGCGTACTTTGTGAGTTTTTAGGGTTTTAGGGTTTCAGGGTTTTAGGGTTTCAGGGTTTTAGGGTTTTAGGGTTCTAGGGTTTTAGGGATTTCGGGCTTTAGGGGTTCAGGGCTTTTAATGCAAAGAAAGAGGTCGGGGTGAGCAACCTTTCGGCTGTTTTGGGTGGCAACAAGTCCTTTAAAAGTCCTAAGTTTCACCTTCACATGCACGGACACTGGACACGTAGGTGTGTAGTTTAGGGAGACGTGGATTAAAGGCTTGAGCCTTAAGTGAGTCTACATCTTTGAAGAGACTTCATGAAGACACCGGAGGCTTGCAACCACTTGGGGCACCATAGTCCAGTGAGTGGTAGTCGTCGCAGGCGAAAATTCAGTGAAGTTGAGTCCAGTCTTTTGGTTTGTACAGTACAGTACCCCCACTGCGTCCGGTGATGTGGGGCTCCTGCTTCCCTTCCCTATGCTCAAATTGCCAGGAAGTATCTGTCGCTGCTTATCCTTTTCAACGCAGAGGCCGCCATGGTGTCTACGATCCTGATGTCCGTTCTGATTGGTGTGCTTCGCATGATGGCCATCCTGCCGAACATGGTCTGGACGCAGCTTCCGTGCTATGTATTCTATTTTGTGATGCTCGCCCCTTGACAGCAAGTGAGTGACGCCTCAGATGTGAGGGCCTATAGGGCCTAGGTTCGGCCTGGTTGGGTGAGAAGGATTTACATCTTTCACGAAGCACTTGCGAAGCACTTGCTGTTGTTATCTTTGCACTTCACTACCTGGAGAGTAATCGCTTAAGGCTTGAAGAGTCATGGCAATGCCGAACGTAAGTCTGCATATGCATGGCATCTGCTGGTGTTTATCCAGCGTTGTGAAGGAATCCCGAACCAGTGAACCAGGCTTTTTGGCAGCCGATACGTGGTATTTTCAGATCGCCTCGCGTCGTCTTCCTTGACCGTCTCTGCATCCCGCAAGATGACGAGGACCAGAATGGGGGGTTTTTACAGTGGGTCTACGATGGTCTACGTATATTGTCGGTTCTCTGGGCACGACAGGGGGTTCTTAGCAGGGATTCTGACAAGTTGTTAGGCTTTGGGGCCAGGGATGTCTGTATGCATATACGTACGCATGTAGGGCACGTAAACTATGTATTTAATGTACTCATTGCACGTAATGTATGTCAAGCAAGTATGTAGTGGATGATTTGCATGTAAAATGTGTGTAATGCAAGATACGTATGTAACGTGTGCTGAATGTCTGTGTGTCGTATGTGTTGTATGTAACGTATGCGCTGCAGGAATGGTACGTGTTGTAGTTAACGTGTGTGATGTATGTGGTGTATGCAATATGCAATGTATGCAATGTATGCAATGTATGCAATGTATGCAATGTATGCAATGTATGCAATGTATGCAATGTATGCAATGTATGCAATGTATGCAATGTATGCAATGTATGCAATGTATGTAATGTATGTAATGTATGTAATGCATGTAATGCATGTAATGTATGTAATTTCTGTAATGCATGTATGTAATGTATGTAGTGTGTTAAATGTATGGCGTGTCTGCGATGTATCGATGCATCGATGTACCGATGCATGCATGCATGCATGCATGCATGCATGCATGGATGTATGTCTGTATGCATGTATGTATGTATGTATTTATTTGCGTAGGTGTGTGTGTGTGTATGTATGTATGTATGAATGTATGTATGAATGTATGAATGTATGAATGTATGAATGTATGAATGTATGAATGTATGAATGTATGAATGTATGAATGTATGTATGTATGTATGTATGTATGCATGTACATTGGTGTGCACATGTGTGCACCAGGGCTTCTCGGTCGACGACCGCTTCTTACGCACAGCCATACTAAGGTGCGAGTGTGGTATGGTGTTCGCATCTACGTATATGTGCACAGCATTGACTTTCTTGCGAGCCTAGTCAGATTGTTGTAGCCCTGGCAGCGATAGTTGTGCTGTCCCACAGAGCAACTCATTCTCTCACGGCGTGACATAGTTGGAGTGAGAGCGTACGTCGATGCTTTTTTTGCAACAAATGCTTCGCCGAATGAAAAGCATTGACCCACACAGCATGATAGTGTGATCGCTGGTCGTGCCATAAAAGTAGAAGAGCGTGCTTAGCATTTCGTTGTCAGTGCGACTCCCTCCCATGCAGCACCCTCAATTATCTTTGTGTCGTCATTGTCTGTTGATTGAGTCTTCCTTGCCGTGGGCGTTTGTTTTTGTCTACCAATCCTTCGCCGCGGCTTTGGTGTGGGATGCTTGATAGACAAAGTGCCAGGAGAAGAAAGCCGCAGGTATCCGCGGGCTTGCTGGTTACTTGGATCGAACACGCACCTTGACCGTCTTGTGGTCGAATGACTACTTTGGCCGACTCTGGTGTCTTGGCTGCCGTCGACAAGCCCCACAGCGGCTGGAGGATTCATCTGAACCGACCTAAACATGGGGCGTGGGCTTTGGGGAAAAGGGTTATGGGTGAGGCTTCAGTTGCGCGATTCTCGCGCGATCAGAGGAGGGCCGCGCCCCAACACTGCGCAGTGCAAGACGTGCTCACCAGCAATACGAGCAGGGAGTAAGGATTATCAAGTTGCGGTTCTGAGTGCCTCCGGTTCTCATCTTGGAGGCAAGCTATCATGTCGTGCGGAGCGAACTTGTGGCCGGAAGTCTAGGGAAATCCGATGCCTGCGGGTGCTCAACTGTATCTAAGAAGTGAAAGGTTCAGTGTCCCTAGTATGTGCATTCGGTAGTTTGAGTTCTAAGTGGTCATTATGTACTTTGGATGGCACATGCTGATGCAGTAGGCTTGTTTACAGTTACAAATGCTGTGTTTGCTGAACAACAACAAGGTGAAAAAGGGATGAGAGCAAATAAGGTGCGTGTTTGAGCTGGCCACTTTTCTCCGGAATCGGTGCAACCGGACGATCCAGCTCCTGCCAGTGGAGATGTCCATGCTCGCCTTTCTGATAGGTCTCTGCTACAGCATGGTAAACCTGGCCCACCGGGTCATCAACGAGGCACGCAACATCACCGGCCCTGATTATGATGGTAGAATCGAAACAGCCCCCTGGCTGGCCACCTTGAGAGCCACTGGTTGGGTGGCAGTGATTGGTAGCCCTTTGGTTCCGTTCTACATCTATCTCGGCTTGGACTTCACGATGAAACTTCGCCTCCTGCCCACGCAGCTGCACACTTTCGATGCTCGAAAGGCTAGCTGCTACTGCTGCACGGTGCCTGGGGCCTTGTTTGGCTTGAAGTTTTGAGTCCTTCTCTGAGTCTGTGGAGTCGTGATCTGGAAAAAATACTTAGGTGGACCATACGGACCCTGTGAGCAAGGCTGCCATCTTCTGCGACCGACAGCTGATCCTGGAAAAGCTGACGGAGTGGTATGGCTGGTATGGAGACCCCGAAGACTGCGAAGACACGGATAAGGGGGTCGATATAGCGATTGAGCAGTTCAACCACCTGGTGCGCAAGGAGCTCGCAGATGTCTTCCTTGACATGATGTCGGGCCGAGATGTTCTGTGGCAGTACATCTACCTGTTGATCGGCCTGAGTCTTGTCCAGGCAAAGCCAAGAAAAAGCCGAAAACATGTTTGGGTCCCGAGCATGGACAGTGCGTAACCGTATGCTCAAGCTTCACTCCAGTGACGCAGGGTCCTTCCAGCGAAGGCTGAGTGGTTATGTCAGTCTTCCGAAGTTTCTAAAGGTCTGAGAAGACCGTCCAGGCCGTAGATCGACGTGTCGTCGCCTTGTGCCATTTTCTGGTTTCACGAAAAGGACTTGACTTGCATCAATGGAAAGGGTTTAGGGGTTGTAGGGTTTAGGGCCTGGTCGTCAGGGTTAAGCCTAAGCGATGCCGAGGAACATTGTTTCCGTGACAAATTCGAAGCTGAGGAACTGTCCGGTTTGCACCTACCTCCTGGGCGACATGGGCTTTCCCCCGGACTCGATGGAAGGTCGGAGCTATGGTGTCCCATACCTTGAGACCCAACTTGTTCCTCTTCTTTTAATAGATTCGACATAAACGTGCCTTAGTTTCGAATACAAGGTTGTTCGCATTGAGCGTGGTATGACCTGGTTTTCTGCTTTCGGGAAATTTCCTCTGCATATCTACCTTGGACACATGTCTGTGCTAAGCAGGCTCATGCCTAGCCATTCCCAGGAAAGCTTACATCCCACAACTCTGAAGGCCTGAACGCAGAAGCAGCATTGTTAGGCCGAGTTAAAGCTCAAAATACCTCTCAGGCCCGCTTATCCGATTCAGCTGGGATTTCAGACCGAAAACCTTCAATCGAGGCTTCATGAGCTCGTCCCAAAAATGCAGGAAGAAAGAGAATGCCCCAAACCCTGAACCCCCTATGCCGGCAAGCAGGCTGGTCTCTGCATTCGTGGAGAGCCAGAGAGTGCACCAGCTTTTGCCACATTTTCCTGCAAATATTCGCAGCGGTGCAGTTGTTCTCGAAGCCTGCATGAAAGTTAGAACCGGAACGTGCTCGGTATTCGAGTAGATTTTGTGTGTGGTTCAGATGATGTTACGACTTTTCCAGTTTCCCTTGTGGGAATACACATTAAAACAGATCAAAGTTCGTGATCACCACGTCGAGCTGTAACTGCCTCTTCCTGGTCCTTGTCATCATTAAGAAAATGTCGCTATCGCCGGGATCGCTACCGTCGTTGCCATGGTACTCTCTTTCGCCATCACAACCACCATGATCCTCACCACCACCACCAGCACCACCTCCAGCACCAGCCCTTGTTGCTGATGCCGTCGACATCAACATCATTGCAGGCAGTGAGCTTACACAGTTAATATTGTGTCGGACACTGCTCGAGGTTCAACGGTGCCATGCAACTACTTGCGTGTATAGCCTGGTGTTGGCGAGTTTGGCAGACATCACCAAGGACAGTGTGGACTCTTGGGGCGATATATCTCAAAGACCATCATCGGTGCATGGCTGCTTTGATGTTGACCCCCATCCTGGTCGTCCTGGCGGTGGGGCTATTCTACTATCCGTTCCGGCTCAGTTTGGAACTGTCGGTTGACGGCAACTTTCTGCCGCCTCTGGCAGCGGTGTCTCGTCAGGTTCAGTTAAAGATCCTGGGACCGCACGGGGTTTCCTAGGTCACAGGCCCCAGCAGTTTCACCTCAGAAGTGCTTGGACAGTTGACTATAGTGTAGTGCAGCGTAGTATAGTATAGTGAAATATAGGCCATTACAGTATAATGAGTCAATTATCGTATAGTATACTATAACATTGTATAGCACTGGTCATCTAGGCGAGGCGACACCTGCTGCGCACATGCACTTGCAAGAGGAAAGTGAGTTGACGTTGCCCTGCAGGTCGTTCTCGAGGCTCTTGTCCTTGTCGCATTGAGCTACACGCGCCGATGCTGGGCTGTTATTCATGACCTTGCTCCTCAGGATAATTCATGTTGAGACCCGCTCCGGCCACTTCCCACAACTTACATGGGTTGTTGTTGTGGGCCGGGCTGATGCTAGCATGGTAATCCTTCAGTGCAAGTCATGATACCAAACTAGCAGCCAGGCTTTCCACTGCATGTGCTGCGTCCTGAAACGAAGAAGGGGTGGGTTTTCAAGGGCGGGCTTTACCACCTGGTCATACATAGATGCTTCAGTCGCGAGCTGCTTGGGGGGCCCCCCTTGTGCGAGAACAACCTGGCAAACAGATGCTGTGGTGCAGTCGCAGGGAGTTGGAGTTGCATAACCCTAACTAAACCCTAAACCCTAAACCCTAAACCCTAAACCCTAAACCCTAAACCCTAAACCCTAAGCCCTAAACCCTAAACCCTAAACCCTAAACCCTAAACCCTAAACCCTAAACCCTAAACCCTGAACCCTGAACCCTGAACCCTGAACCCTGAACCCTGAACCCTGAACCCTGAACCCTGAACCCTGAACCCTGACCCTGAACCCTAAACCCTAAACCCTAAACCCTAAACCCTAAACCCTAAACCCTAAACCCTAAACCCTAAACCCTAAACCCTAAACCCTAAACCCTAAACCCGAACTAAACCCTATAAGCCCTAAGTCATCCTAAACGGGCTCCGAGAGCTGCACGGAAAGCCCATCCTAAGCGCAGCTGTGTTTTCAAAGCCAAAGCCCATGTAATCATGGCTGTCAGAATGCTTTGAGATGCCTTGAGGGTTTTCAGGGTTTAGGGTTTTTTTGGGGTTCGGGCTTTTAGCGATACAGGGTTTCCTGTGTTCATGTGGTTTCATGTACTGAACTGCGCTCTCCGACTTCTGCTTTGCAAGCTCACTGCTGGTGGGTTGACCCGAAACCCCAGCCATAGGGCCATACTACGATCCCAAGCCGAGCCTGAACCGTGGAAAACACTAGAGCCGCAAACTGAAACTCGAACCATAACCAAAACTAACCCATTATAGCCCAATATAACCCAATATAACCCTATGTATAACCCAATACGTAACCCAAACCATCACCCAATATATAACCCAAACCATAACCCAAGAGACCTTGAGCCGTAAGGATTGGCCACGGCCTCGTTCACCCGAACGGCACTGGAGAGCGCACTGGAGCTTCAGAACTGGCAGAGTCTCAAGGAGCTGAGCCTGAGGTCATCGGAGTCGGGGCAGGCCCCCGTTTGGGATGCAGATGATCCTTTAAACGAGTTGAACTCAGCACATCTGAATGTCAGAGTGCTTCTTGGCATTCTTGGCCGTCCCGGTCTGTATGTTGTCTGTAGAACGAGAATATGCCGCGTACCATGTGCGCAAGCAGGGCAGTTTGGGCTTCTAGCTGTGAGGATGTCGACCTACTATCTACACCTCACATAGCCGTTTGTCAGTCCGTGTCAACAAACAAAAACGACACTCCCCGACAGGACGTTCCACCGAGCATAGTGAACCATGACGACGTCTTCAGCATTTGAGCGAGGGCGGCATGCTTTCACCTCTTTAGGAGCTTTTGGAGTCGTGAATAACGTCACGTACACTCCGCAGAAAACAGGAGCTCGGAGCTGGTGCAGGACAGTGTCTTAGGCCGTGGGGCTTGAGGTCATAGCTCCATGGCAAACTTGCGAAGGACATTTTTCAGACTCGTTCCGACTCCCCCGAACATTTTCGACTCGTTGTTTCCGACTCCCCCTGTTTGCAAGGGGCGGACCTCCCCCGGACCCCCCCCCGCCCCCGCCCCCAGTTCAAGCCGGCAAAGCTTGCTTCAAAGAATATCGCGCAATCAATAGACATTCCATCGAAACCTCGTGAGTCCGTCCTCTTCAAACCCATTGTGCATCAGTATGAGTGGGTGAACGATCAGAATTGCCACACTTCACCTTCGCAGCGTTCGAAGCAGATTAACAAACAGAAGTGCTGTCGCTCGCAGCATTTGGCGCCTGCGCCCTTCGTTTTGCAGTATTTGGAGCATATGAACTGCCTTTTTTCAGCATCTGGAGCCTATAAGCCGGCTGAAGCATTGTGTTTTTCTGCATTTGGCGCTTGTGAAAAATCAGATTTGCTGTGTTTTATAGTTTTTGCTGCGAACAGTCAGCCTGTGAACAGTCGTTTCAGATGCTGCCTTTTAAAGGGTTTAGAACCTGCGCCGATTTTTTCATGGATGTTATTTTATTGATTGTGTGGTGTTTTTTCATATGGACTGCTTTTCATAATCCACCCTGTTTCAAAGGTTGGGTTTTTGTTGGCTTGGCCAGCTTTTGGTGACGGCTGAATGTGGGCAATTTGGCCTTATCAACTTTTTGTGAAGCTTAAACCTTAATCCCGAAGTACTGAGGTGAGGTCCCCAACCTCAGACCTTAGACTACACAGTGCGGCATTGAATGGGCACGGGATGAATGTGTTGCATTGAGCTCGGACAACAGATGGAAGAAAAGGTAGCTCTTGAAAAACGCATATGTAAGGACGTCCCCACATGAAGCGAACCCCCCCCCTAATTCAATCACTGACGATGTTCCCCTTGCTGCTGCTGTGTCGTTGCTCTCTTGGTTTGCACAGGATCCATGCAGTTTAAGGCTCGCAGGCACGACGCAGTCCTGCAAGGCTTTGTGACTTTCATGCCTTGAAGGCCTCACGGAGCCACACGAAAACTCCTGCAGCCCCATGAACACGACTTGAGATCTGGCTAGGGCCCTTCTCACAAGTGTTGCAACATCTTCTTCCACGCCGCATCGCAGGGCGAAGGTACAACTTCAGCTGCTCATTTCAATACTTCTAGGGACCTGCGACCGGCTGAGCGGCATGGCCCCTGCCGCAGATGAGGATGAGGCTCCGAGGGCCACAAGACCTGAAGCTCTCAACTCACACCCTGCAGGGTTGTGCTTCTGCTTGTTGGGTGTGGCTTTGTTTGGGGGTCTGTTTGGTGGAGAGAGACGTGCGCAGATGGCCATGGAGACGATCGGCGAGAACGATCCGCGTGTCAAGCCCCGCCCTCAGGCCAAGACGTTTTTAGAGTTCTACAGGGTGGCAGGGCTTCGAATTCTCGCAGCCAGGCTGCAAGGTGCTCGAATATATCCGGGACCCCTACTCCTGTTCCCCAAATAAGACCGTCACAAGCCGAACAATGAGCCCTTCAGAATCCTTACTGCGGGAAAGTGGGGGCTCTGCGCAACCCTTTTTGCTTGCACCCTCTGGTTGCTTCATGTTGCCTCAGGCCCCTCAAACGCCAGAGAAGGCGAACAAGACTCGGGCTCTGAACCGCAAAAACCTTAAAGCCCTAGAACCCCGAAAGCCCGAAAGCCCTAAAGTTCCTGAAGCCCTTAATTTTCCCGAAGCCTTGAACCGGAACTCAAGACCTTCAACAGAATCCCAAGGAAGCTCCAGGAACTTGCCTGGGGCCTGCAGAGCGTGCCCCTCGGCAGAGGGAAAGTGTGGCTTAGGTTCTGGGATTCTGGGGGTCTTGTGTTTGCCCTAAAACCTAAACGGCTTTGCAAGGCTGGATTTCTTTTTCGGGGAGGAGCAGTGTGTGGAGTGCTAAGGGCTGGGTTCTGGTCAATTTGGCTTTGGGGTTTTGGGTTGGCTAGTTACCGCTTGGCCTTAGTCCATCTTAAGCCAGCACCCTCCAGACCTCGCACCGCTGCATGGTCCACCCTCTCGCGCAGGGCTTTTCCCAACAACCCCTGTGGTCATTTTGGCATCGCGTTTTACGATGTACTGTAGCGTAGCTGCATGAACTCCCCAAGTATTTCGCGCCTGTGCCTCTCTCTCTGTGTGTGTGTGTGTGTGTGTGTGTGTGTGTGTGTGTGTGTGTGTGTGTGTGTGTGTGTGTGTGTGTGTGTGTGTGGTGTGTGTGTGTGTTGTCCTTTGTCTTCTCTTTTTGGTTGCCCCCTCTTCCGCCTCCGCCCCCCCCCCCCCAGACCCCCTTTTTCGCCGCGAATAGGGTGGTCTGGGTGGCCCTTGTTCCTGCTGGCCCTAGAATGTTTATGCCCACCTAGAACAAGGAAACGCAACCAACCGCCACCTGTGCCCACCCCTACCCTGGGAAGCTAGCAGCAACGCGCTAGCCTCGCCAGGGAGGACGCGCCTGCCCTGAGGGCTGCAGGCATGATCCAACATGGAATAACCGCTGTGGTTTTGTTAAAACGTGGCTAAAACAACCGCTCTGGTTTTTTAAAGGCTGCTAGGACTACAGCTGTGGTTTTCTAAAACGGCGCCCTAGAACAACCGCTGTGGTCTTGCTAAGGCGCGGCTAGCAAAACCGCTCTGGTTTTTATATGGCACGACCGCTGTGGGTTTTGAAAAGGCGGCTAGAAAAACGTCTGTGGTTTTTCTAATGGCGGCCGGAACAACCTCTGTGGTGTTGTATGTAGGGCGCAACGCACACATTACTTGACTACAGATTTGTTTTTGAATGAGGAGCAACAAGCTCAGCACTTCTCAGAGTTCTCAAAGCGTTGGTTTTCGACTCCTTTACGCTTGGATAATTTAAATCCTCATTCTCTGCTCAAATGAGGTCTGAAGCTGAGGAAGATGATTACGTCAGGCCAGCAGCTGGCTGTACTTCCACGCGTCGTGCCATCCGCCGGAGGGGTCATGGCGCAGCGTTGCTCGCACTCTGGGTTAGCCACAGAACCATGCGGGCTGTTGTCGACGTTGCAAATGGCCCCTTGCCTTGTGGATATACGATGCTGCCAATCAGATTGGACATGCGGTTGGTCTGCGCAGGGCTGCCTCCACAGTTCAACTGATCGGATGTTCTGCTGCGTGTCTCGGGGGCATTTGCGTGCGCGTCGTCACCTTCCCGGTCAAGCCCGGGCCCATGCAAGGCCTGTCGGAAATTACTGTTGTGGTTGCTGTGGGGAGCACGGTGGCGTTGGGATTGGGAGTAACAGCGACGCGAGTGAGCCTATGGCATGGAACTTCACGCAAATGGGTTCATGCTTTGCGTCAATCAGGTTCGGCGAGCATGGCCCATTCTTGCACGCCCAGTCTTTGTAGGATGCGCTTCAGCAATTCAGAGTGAGACTGCGCATTGTTGACCCCGGCAACGGGCAGGACCCGAGCATGTTCGACCGAGTCTATTCCCATTTGCGGACGCAAGGGTGCGGCAGATGCTGTCTGCCAGTCGGGGAACCTTGCTGTAGTGAGGCAACGAACCCCAAAGTGCTTGATGAGGTGCTCTTCTACATTCTCAGTCCCATTGAGTTCTCAGTCATGAGAGTTGCAGTGTGTGCCTCATATTATTCACTAGAAACAAACAAGTCTCCTGGCCACTGAATTCCTGTGCCCTTTAGTCCTGCCTCCAAGGAAGCAATTTTTTTGGATCTCCTGGGTGAGCTATCTTGTCGCGTAGTGGGCCTCAAGAAGCTTACCCACGGCTCTTTCGTGCCTGTTGCACACCAGCACGGCACAGCGTTGCATAGCGTTGTCCATTGTGCAATGTGCAACGTTGTGACATGCATTCCGTTGCATTCTTCGAATGCCTGGAGAAGATAGTGCTCTGTTGCGAGGAGAAAAACAAAACTAGGCTCGTTCTGTTTTGGTGCTTCTTTTTCAAGGAAAAGGTGGTGCCTTGAAGTTGGTGTTCTCAGTGAGCAAGTACATTGACTCCCTCTGAAGTGATTGACAAACATTGATTGATCATCGTGACATTTGCCGGAGACGGCATTTTGATTTCCCACCCGACCCGCCCTACACTGAGGTATTGCTGTCCAGTCAACGGCTGTTTAAGCAGCTTCTGCTTCAGTTTTTGTCGGTCATCTGTGGTGACTTGTGGGTGGATGTGATTGCGGCACTTAAGTTAGATGACATACTCCTTGCAACCGAATGGTTCAGGACTTTTCTCTAAGGCAGATGACTGCGGCGCTCGTTTCGTTCGAGCCTTGGCCTTGCATGTGCTGCAGGACGCCTTTCCAAGATAGCATAGACAGGGGAATCGACCAAGCTGTCGACCCGATGCACTTGTACACGTATGTCTTTCTCACACGTGACCTCAAAGATTGCAAACCGATGTGATCGGTACGAGCTACTGTACTGGTGTGAAAACTGCAGACTTCGAAGCGAGTGAGTGCTGTGCACCTTCTTGTTGATGGCATGTGTGAATGTCGGCCTAACTGCTGAAGCGTTGATGTACACACTTTCGTGACAAGCACGTTCCCGCGAACAATAACCCAGCGATACCCAGCGCATTTTTCGAGTGCCGTGGACTGCTTGGAATGATTGCTAAAAGGCTTGGCTGAAGCAGTCTGCTACTCAAAAGTGCTCCAAGACACTGGAGACCAAGAGCTCCAAAGTTAACAAGAAAGTCAAGGCCGCGCGCCACTTTCAGACCTTGCTCGCTGATCCTGTTTCGTGGCCGTTGGAGTTGGCTCCCGAGTGCGTGCGGAAGTACATTCCACAGCCTTGTATGAAACCAAGCAGGTGCCCGCGTAGGACAAGTGGTCTTTTGCAATGGCCATCGTGCTTCACGGCCGCCAGTCTGAGGAGCGGCGTCGGTGCTTGGCCAACGCTGTTTCCAGGGACGTGCTGGAGACACGGCTTTTGTCGGATGTGCGCTCCAATATGGCCAAGGCGAAGGGCAAGTGGACGTCGCAGCTGTTTGCAGCCTCTGGCCGCGGCGGCAGTCGATAAGCCCAACTTTGGCACGGGAGCAGGGCTCAGGGCGTGTCGGCTTCAGTAGCGTAACGATTTGCGAATAAAGACGCAAAGAAACGCGCGGACATTTCGTCTTCCAATTTGGGGCTTATGGACAAAGTTAATCGTATGATAGCGTACATCCCATGCGCTAACTTCAAGTCTTTTATTGCGCTCACGGGAAAAAGCTCAAACTGTGAGCGCAAAGACGTGCATTCACCTACTTTTGGCACGTGCAAGGGGCTTTCAGCGCGCTCTTTTCATGCGCTCCTTTTTTTTATCTTACTTTTGGAGCGCGTGAAAGAATATTTAAGGGGCACCTATAAAAGAATAGTCCCAATATGGTGTGCATAAAAGCCCTAAGCCTCGCACTTCGTTTGTAAATATACTGGGTTTTGCTCACTTCATGCTTTCACCTCTGGACTACGAGCATTGTCGTTGAAGCGTGTGCGTTTTTTTTTTTACCCATCATGGAACGGGCAAGCGAAACGTGTCAATTTGGAACGCCCCGGCTATGACATGCTACCTGACCAAAATGATGACCGGAAACTTGGTGTCAATTTGGAACGCGGACGCGTCTTAACAGTAAAACCCAGGCGCTGTGCTTGATTCTGGTTTGGTGTGGTTCATTCTGCAACCTCTCTGTGTTCCAAACTTTTTGTTGGTGTTCAAAATTGATGTTTTGTTTTTGAGTGTGTGTGTGTGTGTGTGTGTGTGTGTGTGTGTGTGTTTGTGTTTGTGTTTGTGTTTGTGTTTGTGTTTGTGTTTGTGTTTGTGTTTGTGTTTGTGCGTGTTTGTGTTTGTGTGTGCGTGTTCCAAATTGACGCTTTTTTGTGTTCCAAATTGACCCCTCATCCATTAGTAGTGGAGCTTGGGCTTAAGACCCTTTCTTGCAGGCCCATTGGATGCTTCGAAAAGCATGGGTCTTCTGCTGCCTCCGAGTGTATTGCCCATCTAAGCTTTGGAGCCGGAGCAGCTATCAAATTGTGCGAAAATAACACGGAAGCTCCCCTTGTTAGGGGGTTGGCGGGGGTAGAACCCTAAAACCTAAAGCCCGCCAGTTCGGGTGGGGGCTGGGGCTACGATTGTAAGCAAGAGCGCGAGATAGGGACCGCAGCCTACATCTGAAGAAAAGGCGTGTGCCTTGCGCGCGTACGCGGATGCACACCCTAGACCCTCAACCCGAAACTCTAAATCCTAAGTCCGAACTATACCCTAAACCCCAAACCCTCAAACCCCGAAACCCTACAAACCCCCAAGCCTATCGAAAAACCCAGGACGAATCGACCTGGCAACCGGCTCCCTGAGGAGATGCGGGTTCCCTGGAACCCTCCAAAAGCTTTCTCACGAACTTAATACGCCTTATAGAATATATATATATATATATGTATTATAAATAAATAAATACATATATATATATGCACTATATTTATATATGCATGAGCGTATGTATGTATGTATGCATGCATGTATGTATGTATGTACGTATGTATGTATGTACGTACGCAAGTATGTATGTATGTATGTATGTATGTATGTATGTATGTATGTATGTATGTATGTATGTATGTATGTATGTATGTATGTATGTATGTATGTATGTATGTATGTATGTATGTATGTATGTATGTATGTATGTATGTATGTATGTATGTTGGTTGTTTTTTTGGTTTTGTTTGTTTGTTTGTTTGTTTGTTTTCTTGGCTCGTTGCTCACTGTTGCACAGACCACGCAAAGCGTCAGAGTCAAAATGTTTGTTTGTTTGTTTGTTTGTTTGTTTGTTACACTCCTTTGTTGTCTATCTAATTGATTTGATCTTGCCGCCCCACCCCCCCCCCCCCAGCTCGATGCAGGGTCTTTGGCTGAGAGTTCTTGCGAGTTTCTTTACTTGTTTCTACCTAGTGGTCTTACTAAACCCTGAACCCGAAAGCCTGAAACTCAAACCCTGAAGCTCCCAAGAAGAGGACGCCAAACGCGCGGCCTACCGAGTCACCAGCCGAGCGATCGCTCTGTGCGGGGATCCCTACCCGGCTTCGCACAGGGGCCCCTTATCCACCAAAAAGTAGGTTGGCTGTCAGGTGGACGAGTGGGCGGATGGGAAGGTGAAAATCTCCCGAACCGACTTTTGCTTTGGGTTTATCCGAAGCTTGATGGTTCGAGTATCCCTGAACATTAAACCCTGAACACCTTACACCCTGGCCCTTAAACCCAGAGCCATCAATAAATAGACCATCAGGCCGAGTTCAGCAGCTTTCGGCTGGGCCTGTCCCTTATGCCTTGGTAACCCTGCAAGACTCCTTAAGATCTGGATATTTTGAGAGGCTTCCCCCCAAGAAGAGGGGATATTTTCTTAAAGTGGGAAGTCCCATGGATTGTCCGGAGTGCCGCGCGGCGCATCCCGCGGCCTGCGGGCGCAAGGTCTACGTGGAGGTGGGGGGGGGGGGGGGTGAGGGATTTGGCTCCCGTCGACGGCGTCTTCGCACCACGCGCCTAGATTCCCGAGTCCACGCCTAGAGCTCCCGTCCAAGCCCTGTAGAGCTTCTTTCCAGAACTCCGCAGGCCAAGTGCCCGGTCTGCTGTGACTACGACAGGCGCCGTGTGGGAGCTTCTGGGTTGCGGGCCCCCGGGCCCCCCATGTTTTGGACTTGCCACCCCGGGGCTTGGTCGACAAGAAGTGGCGCAGCATTTTGAAAAGAAGCCCCGGAGCTGCTCAGCCGCGAGAAGCCTCTGATCATGTTACTGCGCAGGCCCTTCGTGATCTTTCCCTGTGGCCATGGCGTCTGCGTCCAACACTTCCAGGACATAAGTTTTTGCGGTATACTTGCGAATTGAAGGTAGGGATTGAATACTGGTTGAATGTTTAGGTTCGAAAACTTGGGGACTTGAGGGTTTGATGGTTCCATGCTTCCAGCTTTTCGTCTGGAGGCACAAGGGGTGAAGGTAAAGAAGGCATGGCCCAAGGAACTTCCAGATACAACCCTGAAGTTCCTACAGTAAAGCTGCTCTCTTCGTGGCTTTATTAGCCATGAAGAGGACCCATTCAGAATTAAGAGCAAAGTAGGAGTGCCCCCCAAAGCACGAGCCAGTCTCCAGGATTTGGGTGGCCGGCTGGAGCCCACGGCCCTCGTGGCGCCGACATCGGCCCAGGAGCGTGTGGAGTTCACCGACACCGGCCGGGCCTGACAACATTTTCCCAAAACCCTGCGGTTTTTCATCGGTTTAGGGGCTGGCCTCAGGGCTGACCTCAGGGCTTCTCTTTTTGCAGCTCAACTTGTGAGAGGTTTTGTGCAGGGCGGGTCTTATTCAAGAGTGGGGACCCCAATGTGATCAATATGCAGATGGAGACCAGATTGCGTTCCTGGTGAATGCCCTGGGTGGCCTGGACTACCAAGTGAACGGCAGGCCGAAAGTTCCTTGTCTTCTTTAGGGGGGGGGTTGTGGTAGGGGGGGGGGGGGAATCTTGACGTTTCCTTTTTGGCTCTCCGTGGCCTCTGCTCGTCAGGTGAACAGCCTGACTCGCTTGTTCTTGGATGGCTGCACCCTCCACCTGGACGGCGCCAGCGCGGGCACCTGGCAGTCTGCAAGGCGCACCACTGCCCCTCGGCCTTTTAGGCCTCCCTGTGTAGCACGCCCTTGTTATTTTACTGGATGATTCACTTCTTGTAGTTTTGTTTACAGGGTGAAGGAAGTTCTTTGTTCTTGCAGCGAAGCCCTGATGTCCTCTGGGCCAGGTTCCGCGCTCGCAGGTGGCCATGGCTTCGCAAGCGGTGGTGCTGTTCCAGGCTTGCGCCAGCGCGCGCGGCGGTTCTGGCGCCCATGGCGCCCATGGATCGGATCCCATGGAGACCGTGGACGCCGTGGGGGCAGTTGTTTTCCATCAGCCTTTTTGAGGGTCCATATGACTCCCTTTGTTTCGTGAGTACTTCTGCTTTTGGGGGGGGGGCAATGCGTAGAATTATGTAGAATTGGATTGGGGGGTGGGCAGAGCTTATAAGGAGTATGTGGACACTGATGGAGACCAGATTGCCTTCATCATCAATGCAGCCGGAGGCATGGACTACATCGTGAATGGCCGAATCAAGGCACCTTTTGCAAGCCCACGCCCTGCACAAGCTCCGTACCGTCAAGCCTTGACCCGAAACCTTCCTGACTTCCCCGAATCCTTCTAACATACATCCCTACACCCTAACCCTAAACCCCCGTCATCCCCTCGAAGAACCCACCGAGCCCTGGACCCACAACTTCAGTACCCTCGTGCCCCCCCCTCTTGGGTCTTCGACCCAATTCACCCCCAAGATTTCCTAGATGTATGGATCCCTGAAGGTCCGGAACTTGAGCGAGCTCCGTGCCCTGGGCAGCATCCAGAGAGGATGGGTTCTTGGAGGGTGGAGAGTTCAATCAGGGTTCTTCAGAGGTTGCGGAACCCCCCCCCCCGCCAAAAAAACAAGGCAACAAAAACCGTAAACCCAAAACCGTAAACCCTGAAGCAACTGAAGAGGCATCGGAGGCAACACCATCCACCTCAACGGCGAGTCAGCGGGCCGCTGGTCGTCCCGGAGGCCCGTTCTTGGGGAGGTGGGTCCATCCGTGACTATTTTAATTGCACTTACGCGGTCCTCATTTCAGGCGCTTAACCTTAGGCCAAATGACTCAAAAACTCCCCAACATATCCCGGGGCCCATCCATTGACTTCCTCAAGTCGACACCAGTGAGGCGCTCCGAGGTCCCGTCAGGGAAGGAGGCCGTCCTTCAGCGCGCCTTTTCCGGCGAAGTACTGGTTCACAGCTTGGTTCGAGGGGCTTTGGGGTAAGGATGTTACCATCCTGACCATGCCCCGGGTTCTTCGGGTTCTTTCCTTTCCGGTTCCAGTTCCCCTAAACCCCAAGCCCTGGGCCCTCAGTAGAGGTAGGAGTTGGCGACGCTCTTGTATTCCCAAGCACGGACCTTTACGGGGATGGTCGGATCTGCTTTAGGAGCTGACTCAGACAGAATAAGGTGCTGAGACGATGTTCTGCAGCAGATCTATCTGAACGCCGGTCGCCCGAAGTTTCGAAGCGGCCGAAGTGCCGGCTGATCTGCAGCAACGACCGCAAGGGTGAGGATGCGCTGGCGGAGCGGGACAAGACACCTCTGAGAATCTGCTGCCCTCCGTGCATCTCCAGGCACATGGCGCAGACACGGGGCAAATGAGAAGCCTGTGCGCGTTGGCGCGGCATGACTGTGCTTCAGAGTGGGAGCTGTGCCCAAACGTGGGTTCAATAGCGAGAAACTCTTGCAGAACTGCTTGCGTTGGTGGAAGGCGCTTGGGACTGCCGTGAAAAGTCGGCATGCATGGCGGGAGCATTCCTGCATGCAGGAGCGCGTAGGATTTGAATCCAGGTTATGCTGAAGTTATGCTGGTCTTTGCTGGAGCCTCTGAAACTCCAAATTCCGCGGCCCCCCACCTCTCCGCCCGAGGCACGAACGCCGAATATGCCCGGGCCCGGGTGCAATCATGGCAGAGCCAGGGGGGGGGCATTGAGGGGCAGTTTGGAGGGCATTCATTATTTTAGTATTCTACTTGTTTCTTGTTTGGGGGTTTGGGGTTGGGGCGAAGAGGAGGTCTGAGACTTTTGCGGCTCAGCTCCAGGATTGTGAGGGCCTGAGAGCTCCGAAGGGCTTAAGCTCTACAAACCCTATATGTTTTAGGGTTTAGGGCTTAGGAAAACATCCTAAACATCTTAAAGCCCCAAGCCCCAAAAGGGTTGCACTCGTAAGGGGATTGTGCCAGGCGCCATCGAAGCTCGACCCTCGACCCGAAACTGGGTACCAGACGATACCAGACGATCGCATAGAGCAAAGAAGATGGTGGTTTCCTCACTCCCGGAGGTTTCAAAGGTGGTTGCCTCACTTTGGGCTTAGGGCTTCGGTACCCTTGAGGTGGAAGTCGAGGACTTTGTCAAGAGGGCAGCGAGCCTCACCAAAGAGATTGAGGCAGCGAACGGGTCTGATGGTCTTAGTGCAGCAGGCCAGCCGTAGGGCCCAAGGTGTAGTGCTACGGAGAAGCGATGCGCCTTGCTGCCCGAGAATGCCCCTGGAACACCTCTTTTGACTTCGCTGCCCGAACTTCGGAGTGGGGTTTAGCTTCGGCCACGGCATGGCTTTTCTGTGTTCTTTGCGAGGAGAAGAAGAAGGAGCTCCAGGAACTGGAGGAGGCTGGGCTGGGTTTGGTGGGCTGAGAGCTGAAGCTAAGATGTAGGTTTGAGGGCTTGACACAAGCAGCAGCGGCCTTGCAAAGAACTAACAGAAAACCACAGTCCTTCCCCAGGCCACTCAAAACAAGCTTCCTTCCCGAATCCACTCCTGAGGCCATCAAGACAGATCTGAGTGGGAAGTGCTACCGGGCCACTGGCGACGGAGGAGCCGAAATGGGTCTTAAACCCACCCCCGGCCCCCCCCCCCCCCCCCCCCCCCCGCCCACCCCAAAACCCTAAAGTCGTTTTATATTTGGGGCCTATTGGGGGATAATGCGGTTGCTAAGTAAGGTCTTGTTTACAAGGATATCTAGGCTCACAGCGGTCCTTTGTTGGCCCTCAATGCGATTTCTCTTTTGTGCTGACTTGACAGGTGACAGTGCTTTAGGGCTTGAAGGTTATAGGAGCTTGGAGTGGGCATTGGAGGGCCCGCGCATCTTTCAACTCTGATGAACTCGAAGCCCCCAAGCGAAAAACTTAAACTCTGAAGCTCCAAAGTTGCTTCATAAACTTGGGCTCCCAAACCTCTAACCTGCGGAAATCCCCGGAAGAGCCCCAGGAGTCCGCCGAAACATGCTGAGTCCCAAAGTCCCAAGCCGCCAGCAGAAACCAGGGGGGAAGTCGCAAACGCACGCAGCATGCCTGGAATTGTGCTCCCCAAATTCCCCAAACTCCCCAAATTTCCGAAACCCCTTCCCCAAACAAAATCTCTTCCTTCAGAGATTGCGGTTGAGGCTACGCCATCGGTCCACGGGCCTCCTGAGGGCTTTGGGTCGAGTGGCGCTTTGGGTTCAAAGGGTTCCTGAAGAGTTTCTGAGAGGTTCCTGAAGGGTTCTAGTGATTCTAGTGCTTACAGAGAGCTGAGTCTGGTTGAGGGATGCTGGGCACAGCGGTGAGATTTATAGGGGATGTTGGAAGCGGCGCCGGGGACTTGTTTCACCTTGCATGGCCAGCAGTGCGCGAAAATGTTGGGCCCCCAAGTCGCGGCTGTGGGACTTCCGGAGGCTCCAAACAGGCTTTGGTGTCGGGCTTTTGAGCTCCACGCATCTTCAAAGCCCTCACAAACTTTGAAATGAGATACCTGATTTTTTGAGACTTTCGGAACAGAAGGGACCCCACCGCCCCCCCCACCCCCCCCACCCACCCCCCCCACCCCCCGACCCCCACACCGACACTCCGAGTACTACGACTACCACTACTACTACTACTACTACTACTACAACTACTACTACTACTACGACCACTACGACTACGACCACTACGACTACTACGACTACTACGACTACTACGACTACTACGACTACTACTACCACTACTACCACTACTACCACTACCGCTACTACCGCTACTACTACTACTACTACTACTACTACTGCTGCTGCTGCTGCTGCTACTACTACTACTACTACTACTACTACTACTACTACTACTACTACTACTACTACTACTACTACTACTACTACTACTACTACTACTACTACTACTACTACTACTACTACTACTACTTGCATTGCTACTTCCGTAGCCCTTCGCATTCGGTCAATGTTCCTCTCTCGGCTCGGAAGTCTCCTTTTCCCTAGCGGCCGTCTAACTATGATGGCTGTTACGGGATCCAGGGATAGCCGCGGCCTCGGCCCACACTGCGGGTTTCTAGGAGCCGAATGCCCTTCACAGGCTTAAATCCCAGTTACAGCTACAGGGGGAATTTCTCTGAATAGGAGCTACCAGATTACTGGAATCATTCGCAATCCGCATTGTGGGAGCACCAAAATGGGTGCCCCGAATTTTCGTGAGCTTCTTGTTCAAGGGAAGAGGGACGGAACCTTTCAGTCGTTTCCAAGCGCTCATGTCACAACTTTGACACGTCCCAAAGCCCAAAGCCCAGGGCAGACCAAAAAAAGCGGCCACCCTGGACTTCTTCCGAGTGCCCTGAGGCCTTAGTATCGAGACATCCTCCGTGAAGCAGGATGTGCCGCCGGGGCACCCAGGCGAAAAAGCGCTTTGGAGGGCTTGTCCGTGCCTTTTGGTTGAAACACTCACTAGAACCTTAAACGCCCCCAAAAATCCAGCTCTGCTCTGCCAAGGACGGGCCCAGTCCTGCAATACCAGGACTATGAGCAGCTGGTCCTCAATAGCAACAAGGCCTGCAATGACAGGGTTGTGAGTCCAAGGAGGGCGTTCAGGGCGTTCAGAGGCGAAGCTCACCCTTCTTCCCAACGTCAGCCTAGCGGTCTGATGCTCCAAAAGAGCTTGTTGACACCTATGTAGGGTTTAAAAAGTTCACTCGTGCGACTTGCCAGCGATTGGGCTTCCGGCTTGAGTTTCGAAGCCCCTCCTGACAAACTCCAACTCCCAGAATCCGACCAGAACGCGGAAAAACCCCAAGACCCACAAGGTCCCTGAGCCCACCTGAACAACCCCCCAAAACCCGCTGAGTCAAAGATTCTCCCGGGGTTTGAAAATAAGTACCAGGTACCCGAAAAGGGAAGCCCTGGGCACATGTTAAGATGCCCGCAAGGAGGGCATGGACTTCCTCCGGCGGGGGCAGTTCAAACAAGGTTGGGGGGGCCCTAGGATTCGTGGGAGGACAGCAGAATTGTGGGATTCTTTAAGTCCCATGAAATTTTTGAGGGCTTCAGGGCTTCATGTGTGTGTTCCTGGGTTTGGGGGTTGTGTTGGGCTTCGCGGTCAAGATTTCACAGCTCAGCCGAGATCCGAAGCGTTTGAGGTCCAGAGTCACTAGCTTCTGCAACCCAATTGGCCAACCAGTTGCCTTTTTGCTGGTATCTCGGGCTATCTGCTGAATCTGCTGTGGTGTCCACAGAGACTTGCGGGGATGTCTGTGTACATTGACCACAATCTAGACATCACTGGCCCTGGTCCTCTCCGCCCCATTGCGACAGCCCCAGGTGTTGGCATGTTCAGGGTTTGGAGCCTTCAGCTTTCGGAGTTTGGGGGGGGGGCTTTGAGCAGATGATTGAGGCTTCTTGAAGTTCAAAGTCCCGAGCCCTCAGCACCCCTGTCACGGCTCAGCCTTCGAGCAGCTCAAGTACGCGGAAGCTGTAGTGGCAGCCTGGGCTGCAAGAGGGACCCTCTTACTCCATAGGGTGTGGAAGGTCGCGGGCTTGAAGTGAATAAAGCCAAACCTCGCCGACGTCCGAAACCCTTGCGACCCTGCAACCACAAGCGCCGAGCAAACCTCAAGATCCCCCCAAACACAACCCGAGCCCGGAGCCCCCCCAAACAGCCCAAATCCCCAAAGCCCTAGTTTACAAAAGCACCAGAAAGTCTGCAACAGAAAAAGCCTCCGAAGCCGTGTCGGAGGCTGATGCGTAATCCTTCCAAGTAGGAGTCCGGTCGATGACTGGGTTTCAGGGGTGGAGGGGGTTTGAGGGTCAAACCCAGGGTTTTTAGCGGGTTGGCTCAGTTAAGGGACCCAGCCTGCTTCTTCTGAAGCCTGGGGGGTGGTTCAGGGCTCCAGGGTTTGACTGTTTGGGGTTCAGGGCTCTCGGCTCAGTTAAGGGACCCAGCCTGCTTCTTCTGAAGCCTGAGAGCCCTGAACCCCAAACAGTCAAACCCTGAAGCCCTGAACCACCCCCTCAAACATCCCAGGTGTCCAAGCAGGGGAAGGACCCATCCGTCGGGGAACTGTGCCTTCTGAGTGCTTCGGTTTCTGCGGGGGATTGGCTTAGACGCCAGGCTTTTGTTTGTTTTGGGGCTTCAGGGCCCTCAACCCCGCAAGCCGAAAACCCGAACCCGAACAGAATTGAAAGGACGTGCCAAATCGCGAGCCATAGAAACCCTGACTCCCTAACTCAAACCGCACAAGTTCTAAAGCCTTGAAGGAAATCTGAACCCAACATCCCACACCCAAAGCCCTGTAAACCCTCAAGTGGGAACCTTCCATCCCAAACGAGGTGGTGTGATGTTGAACAAACTCAGGGTTCCGGGCTCACCAAGTAGTGGCGAAGAAAACTTGCTTAGTGAGGAGGGAATCTTCAGCCCGCCCACAACGTCAACACCAGGAACTAGTAAGTGTGGTGGAAAATAATTTCTGACGTTCTCCCCCACTTTCAAACTCCCCCACTCACAAACTCCCCGGCTGCTGCACCAACATTCATCCCGAGTGGTTGAGAAGCAGCCGGCAGAAAAGAGCGAGGACGAGCCGACGAACTTGATGTCGGTCACCTGCAACAACTTGGGCTGCTACTACAAGAAGGCGTGCGCATACTGCTTCTGAGTAGGGAACAAGGGAATGCGGCGCTTTTCATCGTGTACCTGGGTACCAAATTCCCTGCGACGACCTAGTTTGGAGTTGGTCAAAACCCTTTGAACTGCGGCCTCTCTCCCCACTAGCTCACTAGCTCACCGACGGGAAGACCGTGCTCTTTGCGCCGGAGGCTGCTCAGAACCCAAACCTTACGATTACCCCCCAGCAGGAAATTGATCCCGAACCCACTTGCTGTGATCAGTGATGGCAACCTAGGCTGTTTCTAGAGTATTCTAGAGCTTTTTGTTGAGGGGGTGTGGGGGCAGTGCTGATGTTCCAGGTCGGCAAGCTGCACGCTGCGCTCGGCTACCTGCGGAAAGCCCTCAAGATCGAGGTGCCCCCCCGCATGTCAGGAGCTTCATAAGAGCTGAGGAAGGATCTTCGGGGCTTTTGTGTTTAGGGAGGTCGTCACAAGCAGGTGGTTTAGGACACACACGCGGTTTGGGGTTTGACCAGCCTAGTTTAGGGTTTGAGATGTTAAAGGCGCTCGGCTGTCCCCGAAAGCTCACAAACAGTCCCCCCAAACACCTTCCTCCCCTTCGTTTGAACCAGAGGTTTCATTGCGGACGGACGACGTTACCGTGGCCGGGACCCACCTCAATGTGCCCCTTCGGCAGATGTTTCTGCAGTTTTTGGGTTGAGAGCTTGAAGATCAAGTCTCTCAGGGATTAAGCTCGAACACCGACACCCGCGAACCACAGGCTCAGAGTTTCGTGGCTCGGGGTGCTCAAGCATCTCAATGCTTGGTAGCTTGACTGATGTGAGGGGAACCATCATGGAATGCAATTCCTCTGCACATCGTCTCTCCTAGCTGTTCTGCAGATCCTTGGCCCACCATCCTGTTGTCAGAGGTGTGTGCGATCCTGTCGAAGCTCGACAAGCACGACAAGGCCTCCGCAAGGGGGGATAATTTGGAGTTGAGGGCTTCAGCTCTAAGCCTGGAACCCCAAACCCTGAACCCTAAACCCCCCGAAAGGAAAGAAAGGGAAGCCCCCCACGAAAAACACGCTGCAGAGTCCTGCCAAGAAGGCCCTGCAGCACGCGCTCTGCGCTCTCGAGCTGATCCAAAGCCGCGTCGACGGCCTTGGGGACGCCGCGTCCCAGGCGGGCTTGCAGAGGGGAAGGGGGGGGGGGCGGGTTACTGGGTTTAGGGTTTACGGTTTCGGGCTTCGAGATGAGGGTTTGGGGTCTTGTGTAGGTAATTGTGACTTTACTGAGTTATTTCCGTTCTTGGCCTGATGATGGTTGCTGTCACTATTTGCCTTTGTTTGTCGGGTTCTTAGGTGCCCTACTGTGGAAAGAAGGTCCCTAAGCCACGGCCCTGGAGGCGCTAGGTTAGGCCTTCTGGGATTTGTTGCAGCGTCGTTCTGACGGGCGAGTTTTCGGACTTGAGGTAGGTCTGGGTGAGAGCGCGGGAGAGTGCTGCCCCTTCTGTTGCTGTCTCTTGTTTCTGCCTTAAGTTCAAGGCTTTGGCTGGGAGATTTGGGTCTTGGCTGAGGCAAGGGCTTTCAGCCGGTTTTAGGATCTAAGGTTCGGGGTGTCAAGTAGCCGCTAAGTAGCCCCAAGCCCTGTGAGGACGAGTTTTCGGTCCTGGCCATCGCGTACCACAACGTGGCAGTGGAGCATGACTACCTCCGCCAGTTGGCAGAGGCATCCAGAGAAATCCTAAGACCGAGCCCAGATATTTTAAGAACATTACCATCTAGCATTAATTTGCTCATCCCCATCATTCTTATTCTCGTTCTATACATGTAAGCAAAAAAAGGGAAGTACACATCACATGCATGTCGAGCTTTTACAGGCCTTCAGGCCGATTTTTCACCATCGTGAAGGAAAGCTGCTGCTGCGCTTTGCCCAACCCATTCGTGGCCCGCCACTACCATCTTTAAGTCCCTTGACTGCGGAAAAATCCCAAACCCCTAATCCTAAACCTTATAAGCCCAAAACCCCTAAACCCTAAACTCAACTCCTTAAACTCCTGAACCCACCCTTCCCCCCTCCCCCCCCCCCAAGTTTGGGAGGCCGCCGAGGCGTACCAGAAGGGCCACGCCGTGGCCAAGAAGTGCCTCGGGGAGCAGCACCCGCTGACGCCGGGACGCCCCAGACGAAACTTCTCCGCACAACCCCCCTCCCCCACCCCCAGAACAAAAAAAGCAACCCGAAGCCCGAACCAGGAACCCTAGACTACTAGACTACTCCACCGGGGTTTCGGGTTCAACCCAGGAGCCCAGCATCTTGAACCCTAAGCCAACATCCAGAATTTGAGACCTCCTTCCTGTGCCCCCCCAAATTCGGCGTTGACGAATGACGTGCCCATCAAGCTACAAGTCAGGCTCACTAAGCAGAGCCCCTGAGTGCTTGGGCCAGGCAGACCTTGGCCAAGAATGCCGATGTCGTCGGGCGCTTAGACCTCTGCCCCATGTAACGCTCAGTGGGCTAGGGACGAGATGGAGACTGCCAACGAGTGAGGGTCCAGGGTCCAGAAACACACACATTCAGTTGGTGGGCCTTCGCTTGTGCAGTCAAGGGCATGAAGTGCGGTTACTCAAGGGCTGGAGAGGTACTGGTACAGGATGAGAATGTTGGATCTTGGGGTGCTTGTACAGGATAGAATCTCTGTCTCATTATTACTCTCATGTGCACATGAAGTTACTAGTAGCAAGAAGTGATGATCAGAGCAGAATGAGCCCGGTAGCACAGCCTTTGGCTCATTCCTTTCACCTTTGTCATTTCATCGTTTTAACCATCAATTTTTGGGATTTGCTCCCCAATATCAAATGAGTACCTAGAAACCCTAGAAAGTACAGGAAAGGCGCCAACGAGGAAATTGCTTCGGGAGCTCTCTTCACGAGGAGAGTTGCAAAGCTGAATAAGAAAACGACCAACTATTGAGAGTTCTTGCGGGCCGTTCGCTTCGTTTCTGTCGCTCTCTCTTTCTCGCCCGCTCTTTTACTTCTTTATACTTAATTTGTCAGGTCACGAGCACTTGGATGAATTAGTTTTAGCGGGTTCTCGGGCGTCACGCGAACACCGACTACTATCACTATTGTAGATGCCCGAAGGTGTAATGACATAGGAAGCAGCAGCACAAAGCAGTTCCAAGAAGAAGAAGAAGAAGAAGAAGAAGAAGAAGAAGAAGAAGAAGAAGAAGAAGAAGAAGAAGAAGAAGAAGAAGAAGAAGAAGAAGAAGAAGAAGAAAAAGAAGAAGAAGAAGAAGAAGAAGAAGAAGAAGAAGAAGAAGAAGAAGAAGAAGAAGAAGAAGAAGAAGAAGAAGAAGAAGAAGAAGAAGAAGAAGAAGAAGAAGAAGAAGAAGAAGAAGAAGAAGAAGAAGAAGAAGAAGAAGAAGAAGAAGAAGAAGAAGAATAAGAAGAAGAAGAGAAGAAGAAGAAGAAGAAGAAGAAGAAGAAGAAGAAGAAGAAGAAGAAGAAGAAGAAGAAGAAGAAGAAGAAGAAGAAGAAGAAGAAGAAGAAGAAGAAGAAGAAGAAGAAGAAGAAGAAGAAGAAGAAGAAGAAGAAGAATAGAAGAAGAACAAGAACAAGTAAACTAGAACATGGTTCACGATTATAGACAAGTTAACGAGTTTCATTCTCGCTCTTTATTGTTCTTTCCTGGGATCTGATGTTAAGGAACATCTACGGGTTTAATATAACACCAATGGAGCTTACAACAGAAAGAGACGGTATTTCTGCTTCATAAAAGTTCGCTCTAGTTCTTATGAAGCTTGGGTCGATGAATATGATTGTTGTTTTGAATTCTCGACGGGCCAGAGTGATTAACCAGATCTTGTAAGTTAAAGGAATCCTGTTCGCCCGGCTTACATGCATGATTATATAGTCTCAGCTTATGGTTTCTTGCCTAGCTTATTTATCATGTTTTCCTTTAGGGCTTTATCTTGCAAGAAGTTAATGTGAGGAAGTGAAATGCGTGCATTTCAATATGCTGCTTATCTTATCCCTCTGGAAGAGATTTCCCTGTCGCTCGTATAACTGGTGGAATGTGTGAGTTAGAAGGCAAGTACAAAATATCAGGGTTTGGTTTCATGTGCCTTTTCCTTCAATCATAAGTGCAATGCATCTGGTGTTTTAGAGGAAGTTGGTGGACCACCGAAACGGAATGAATTCAATGACTTGGAAATTGCAAGGATACTAATACTAACAGACGTCCCTGAAAGCTTCTCCCGAACTCTCCTTCATTCCTTTCAAATGCGTCCAGATTTCTATTGAGTTTTGGAGGTGCATTGGTTATTCGGAGACCGCTTAGTTTAGAAAAAGTCATGCCTAAATGTCCGTGGTTTCGATTCTTTTTCAAAGGGCACTTGGTGATCACTGTCCCCAAGAGTTGGAAGGGTCAACAAGGACGTTGTATAGGACAAAGGTTAGGCTCGCCAGGTAAGTCCCCTAGCTTCATGAGCAAAGTCTTCTGACGCCACTTCGCAGATCTCGTGGAAGCAGGAAACGAGCGGAGACCCGAAATACCCCAACCTCAAGACTGCGAGTGCACGATGTGCTGAACTCTGAGCCCTCAACCGCAGCCTGCAAGATCCATTTACGGTCTAGGGTTTTTAGGGTTTTAGAGGGCTGCTGTTGCAGTAGTGTGGTCGTGCAGAGGCTTCTTTTTTGGCGAAGGGTTCGCTGGAATCGCGTGCTGCAGGCGTTGCAGAAGTCTCAGAAAGCTGCAGCCGCTGCAAGCGCAGGGGTGGGTGCCTCAGGAGCCTCAAACGCCCTCGAGATTCAGCCCAACAGTCCCCCAACATTTTGGTGCCTCCTTTGATTGTCGCCCCCCAAGCCTTACCAGAAACCCTAGAAGCCCTAGACGCGCCAAACCCTCAAAAGCCTTCAAACGCCTCAATAGCCTCGCCTTTGAAGCCTCGAGGCCGACGACCGCCGGCGCGACGGCACCGGCGAGGAGAGAGGGGGGAAGGTTGTGGGCGGGGGGGATGGGTGTTGGGGCGGGTGTGGGTGGGGGTTTTG